CTCTCCGAACTTCCGAGCGAAGGCTGCGGTAAACCTCCTCATTCTCTGACGTGGGATGCTGTAGGCGATGAGAGTGGGCCTGACGCTTTTTCTCAATTAACCTAAACACCTCCTCTGTCAGCCAGGGTTTCTGGGGAGGTCTGGACCGCGTACCCAAAGCAGCCATTGCAGCTGCATGAGTCACAGTCTTAAACCTCGCCCATTTTCCCCTCGACATCAGGTGGAGTGGGGGACGATGCCAACCCCAGCTGCAAGCTATGAAATTCTCGCTTGCACTTCATCAGCTAACTGAGACCAGGCCACTTTGGTTGGAATGGATCCTGGGTGTACACCCACCACCGGAGTGGAAGAAAGGCAGGCGCATCTTACAGATGACTAGTCGATGGTCAGGAGGACAGATCAGCTCCACGGTAGGTCCTGGACATAGACACACACACAGAGACACACACACACACAGAGACACACAGACACACGCACAGAGACACACAGACACACACACGCAGTGACACAGACCACACACACACAGTGACACACACACAGAGACACACACACAGAGACATAGACAACACACACAGAGACACACACACAGAGACATAGACACACACAGAGACACACACACAGAGACATAGACAAACACACACAGAGACACACACACAGAGACATGGACACACAGAGACACAGACACACACATAGACACACACACAGAGACACACGCAGAGACACACACACACAGAGACACACACACAGAGACAGACACACACAGAGAGACACACAGACACACACGCAGAGACACACAGAGACACACATGCAGAGACACAGACACACACACAGAGACATAGACACACACACAGACACACACACAGAGACACAGACACACACAGAGACGACATGGACACACACGTAGACATGCAGAGACACACACACACAGAGACATGGACACACACGCAGAGACACGTAGAGACACACAGAGACATGCACGCAGAGACACAAAGACACGCAGAGACATAGACACAGACACACCGTTACAGACACAGACACACGCAGAGACACAGACACGCACAGAGACTGGCAGTTGATGCTGCAGCTGCTGCATAGAGTTTGTGTCTCTCTTGTCTTTCTGTTGTCGAGTGGATTTTCTTTCCGGTCCCTCTGGTTTCCCCCTCCACATTTGAGAGACGTGAGTTGCTAGAGTCTTTGCCAACTGCTATAAAGGTTCACGTGATGATGATGATGAACCTCATTGGTAGAACTATCATCGGTAATGCCCAGGTCAGGGCCTTCGAAAAAGAGAGCTTACACACACAGCATCTCAATGAGGCCCTTGCCCGCTAAAATAAAACGCGGTCTAGTTTCTAGTTCAAGTCTCGTGCACAACAACAACAACATCATCACGATGCGCCCACCTGCTCAGAGCAGTTCAGCCCAGGTAAGTGAACTTGCCACCTTTATTACCATCACCAGCACCACCACCAGCAGCAGCACCACCAAGCACCAGCAGCAGCACCACCAGCAGCACCACCAGCAGCAGCACAATGTCTCCCCCAGCAACAACAAAACAGCTGGGCAGGCAGCGTCACTCACTCACGGGGCAGGCAGCCAGGCAGCGAGAGACGAGGCCACGTCTCCAACGCTGGGACCGTGGCGACGACAAACAGAACCGCGATGGGCAAAGCGACCACCCCCCCCCCCCCCCCGAGTCGAACGGACGACGCTTTTCTGTCGATTCTCTCGGATAGTTCTGGAAAATATGTCATGGACCTGCCCTCAACAACGCACGCTCACACTCACCACCACCCTCACCACCCTCACCACCACCACCTCACCACCCTCACCACCACCACCCTCACCACCACCCACCCACCACCACCCACCACCCCTCACCACCACCCTCACCACCACCACCCACCACCACCCACCCACCACCACCCACCCACCACCACCCTCACCACTCTGTGTGGTGAGTCTGTGGGTCTCTGTGTGATGGTCTCTGTGTGGTGAGTCTGTGGGTCTCTGTGTGGTGAGTCTGTGGGTCTCTGTGTGGTGAGTCTGTGGGTCTCTGTGTGGTGAGTCTGTGGGTCTCTGTGTGGTGAGTCTGTGGGTCTCTGTGTGGTGAGTCTGTGGGTCTCTGTGTGGTGAGTCTATGGGTCTCTGTGTGGTGAGTCTGTCTCTGTGTGGTGAGTCTGTGGGTCTCTGTGTGGAGTCTGTGGGTCTCTGTGTGGTGAGTCTGTGGGTCTCTGTGTGGTGAGTCTATGGGTCTCTGTGTGGTGAGTCTGTGGGTCTCTGTGTGGTGAGTCTGTGGGTCTCTGTGTGAGTCTGTGGGTCTCTGTGATGAGTCTGTGGGTCTCTGTGTGGTGAGTCTGTGGGTCTCTGTGTGGTGAGTCTGTGGGTCTCTGTGTGGTGAGTCTGTGGGTCTCTGTGTGGTGAGTCTGTGGGTCTCTGTGTGGTGAGTCTGGGTCTCTGTGTGGTGAGTCTGTGGGTCTCTGTGTGGTGAGTCTGTGGGTCTCTGTGTGGTGAGTCTGTGGGTCTCTGTGTGGTGAGTCTGTGGGTCTCTGTGTGGTGAGTCTGTGGGTCTCTGTGTGGTGAGTCTGTGGGTCTCTGTGTGGTGAGTCTGTGGGTCTCTGTGTGGTGAGTCTGTGGGTCTCTGGTGGTGAGTCTGTGGGTCTCTGTGTGGTGAGTCTGTGGGTCTCTGTGGTGAGTCTGTGGGTCTCTGTGTGGTGAGTCTATGGGTCTCTGTGTGGTGAGTCTGTGGGTCTCTGTGTGGTGAGTCTGTGGGTCTCTGTGTGGTGAGTCTGTGGGTCTCTGTGTGGTGAGTCTGTGGGTCTCTGGTGGTGAGTCTGTGGGTCTCTGTGTGGTGAGTCTGTGGGTCTCTGTGTGGTGAGTCTGTGGGTCTCTGTGTGGTGAGTCTGTGGGTCTCTGTGTGGTGAGTCTGTGGGTCTCTGTGTGGTGAGTCTGTGGGTCTCTGGTGGTGAGTCTGTGGGTCTCTGTGTGGTGAGTCTGTGGGTCTCTGGTGGTGAGTCTATGGGTCTCTGTGTGGTGAGTCTATGGGTCTGTGTGGTGTGAGTCTGTGGGTCTCTGTGTGGTGAGTCTGTGGGTCTCTGTGTGGTCTCTGTGGGTCTCTGTGTGGTGAGTCTGTGGGTCTCTGTGTGGTGAGTCTGTGGGTCTCTGTGTGGTGAGTCTGTGGGTCTCTGTGTGGTGAGTCTGTGGGTCTCTGTGTGGTGAGTCTGTGGGTCTCTGGTGGTGAGTCTGTGGGTCTCTGTGGTGAGTCTATGGGTCTCTGTGTGGTGAGTCTGTGGGTCTCTGTGTGGTGAGTCTGTGGGTCTCTGTGTGGTGAGTCTGGGTCTCTGTGTGGTGAGTCTGTGGGTCTCTGTGTGGTGAGTCTATGGGTCTCTGTGTGAGTCTGTGGGTCTCTGTGTGGTGAGTCTATGGGTCTCTGTGTGGTGAGTCTATGGGTCTCTGTGTGTGAGTCTGTGGGTCTCTGTGTGGTGAGTCTGTGGGTCTCTGTGTGGTGAGTCTGTGGGTCTCTGTGTGGTGAGTCTGTGGGTCTCTGTGTGGTGAGTCTGTGGGTCTCTGTGTGTGAGTCTGTGGTCTGTGTGGTGAGTCTGGGTCTCTGGTGGTGAGTCTGTGGGTCTCTGTGTGGTGATCTGTGTCTGTGTGGTCTCTGTGTGAGAGTTGTGGTCTCTGTGTGGTGAGTCTGTGGGTCTCTGTGTGGTGAGTCTATGGGTCTGTGTGGTGAGTCTGGGTCCTGTGTGGTCTGGTGAGTCTGTGGGTCTCTGTGTGGTGAGTCTGTGGGTCTCTGTGTGGTGAGTCTGTGGGTCTCTGTGTGGTGAGTCTGTGGGTCTCTGTGTGGTGAGTCTGTGGGTCTCTGTGTGGTGAGTCTGTGGGTCTCTGTGTGGTGAGTCTGTGGGTCTCTGTGTGGTGAGTCTGTGGGTCTCTGTGTGGTGAGTCTGTGGGTCTCTGTGTGGTGAGTCTGTGGGTCTCTGTGTGGTGAGTCTGTGGGTCTCTGTGTGGTGAGTCTGTGGGTCTCTGTGTGGTGAGTCTGTGGGTCTCTGTGTGGTGAGTCTGTGGGTCTCTGTGTGTGAGTCTGTGGGTCTCTGTGTGGTGAGTCTGTGGGTCTCTGTGTGGGTCTCTGTGTGGTGAGTCTGTGGGTCTCTGTGTGGTGAGTCTGTGGGTCTCTGGTGGTGAGTCTGTGGGTCTCTGTGTGGTGAGTCTGTGGGTCTCTGTGTGGTGAGTCTGTGGGTCTCTGTGTGGTGAGTCTGTGGGTCTCTGTGTGGTGAGTCTATGGGTCTCTGTGTGGTGAGTCTGTGGGTCTCTGTGTGGTGAGTCTGTGGGTCTCTGTGTGGTGAGTCTGGGTCTCTGTGTGGTGAGTCTGTGGGTCTCTGTGTGGTGAGTCTGTGGGTCTGTGTGGTGAGTCTGTGGGTCTCTGTGTGTGAGTCTGTGGGTCTCTGTGTGGTGAGTCTGTGGGTCTCTGTGTGGTGAGTCTGTGGGTCTCTGTGTGGTGAGTCTGGGTCTCTGTGTGGTGAGTCTGTGGGTCTCTGTGTGGTGAGTCTGTGGGTCTCTGTGTGGTGAGTCTGGGTCTCTGTGTGGTGAGTCTGGGTCTCTGTGTGGTGAGTCTGGGTCTCTGTGTGGTGAGTCTGTGGGTCTCTGTGGTGAGTCTGTGGGTCTCTGTGTGGTGAGTCTGGGTCTCTGTGTGGGTCTCTTTGTGATAGTCTGTGGTCTCTGTGTGGTGAGTCTGTGGGTCTCTGTGTGGTGAGTCTATGGGTGTCTGTGTGGTGAGTCTGTGGGTCTCTGTGTGGCTCTCTGTGTGATGAGTCTGTGGGTCTATTGTGGTGAGTCTATGGTGTCTGTGTGGTGAGTCTGTGGGTCTCTGTGCGAGTCTTTGGGTCTCTGTGTGGTGAGTCTGTGGGTCTCTGTGTGGCGAGTCTTTGGGTCTCTGTGTGAGTACCGGACATCACACAACTAAAAGCTTCAATATAAGTCAGGGTGAGGGGGTGGGTGAGAAATAACTTTTCACCATCAATATAACAACAGCAACAAGGACGGTACTACTACAGTGGCCGCCTTGCCCACAAACACACAAACTTCCGACTCCGACTCTTGACACCTCATCCTCCACCTCTTCTCCTCTTACACCTCCGTCTCCGCGTGCCGCTCCGTCATCCGCGCCGTGGCGGCCTCCTCGTCGCTGGAGGGAGCGGAGAAAGTAGGCGAGGGTGATGCGCACGTACCGGCAGCGCGTGAGAGTGCACGGACAGTGGAACTTATTCGCGCCCGTTTCGTAGACTAACATTTCTAATTCGGAAGACGTCACGCGACCACCGAATAAACATCGGCGGGCGTCGTCAAGGGTGGGGATCGAACCCACGACCTCCTGCGTGCCAGGCGAGGTGGTCAACATCTCTCAGTGTCTGGGATTGAACCCACGACCTCCTGCGTGCCAGGCGAGGTGGTCAACATCTCTCAGTGTCTGGATCGAACCCCGACCTCCTGCGTGCCAGGCGAGGTGGTCAACATCTCTCAGTGTCTGGCAATCGAACCCACGACCTCCTGCGTGCCAGGCGAGGTGGTCAACATCTCTCAGTTTCTGGCATTGAACCCACGACCTCCTGCGTGCCAGGCGAGGTGGTCAACATCTCTCAGTGTCTGGGATTGAACCCACGACCTCCTGCGTACCAGGCGAGGTGGTCAACATCTCTCAGTGTCTGGGATTGAAACCACGACCTCCTGCGTGCCAGGCGAGGTGGTCAACATCTCTCAGTGTCTGGGATTGAACCCACGACCTCCTGCGTACCAGGCGAGGTAGTCATACATCTCTCAGTGTCTGGGATTGACCCACGACCTCCTGCGTACCAGGCGAGCTGGTCAACATCTCTCAGTGTCTGGGATTGAACCCACGACCTCCTGCGTGCCAGGCGAGGTGGTCAACATCTCCCAGTGTCTGGGATTGAACCCACGACCTCCTGCGTGCCAGGCGAGGTAGTCACATCTCTCAGTGTTCTGGGATTGAACCCACGACCTCCTGCGTGCCAGGCGAGGTGGTCAACATCTCTCAGTGTCTGGGATTGAACCCACGACCTCCTGCGTTCCAGGCGAGGTGGTCAACATCTCTCAGTGTCTGGGATTGAACCCACGACCTCCTGCGTTCCAGGCGAGGTAGTCAACATCTCTCAGTGTCTGGGATTGAACCCACGACCTCCTCCGTGCCAGGCGAGGTGGTCAACATCTCTCAGTGTCTGAGATTGAACCCACGACCTCCTGCGTGCCAGGCGAGGTGGTCAACATCTCTCAGTGTCTGGGATTGAACCCACGACCTCCTGCGTACCAGGCGAGGTAGTCAACATCTCTCAGTGTCTGGGATTGAACCCACGACCTCCTGCGTACCAGGCGAGGTGGTCAACATCTCTCAGTGTCTGGGATTGAACCCACAACCTCCTGCGTGCCAGGCGAGGTAGTCAACATCTCTCAGTGTCTGGGATTGAACCCACGACCTCCTGCGTTCCAGGCGAGGTGGTCAACATCTCTCAGTTTCTGGGATTGAACCCACGACCTCCTGCGTACCAGGCGAGGTGGTCAAGAACTCTCAGTGTCTGGGATGGTGGTGGTGGTGGTGGTGGTGGTGGCGGTGGTGATGATGGTGGTGGCGGTGGTGGCGGTGGTGGTGGCGGTGGTGGTGGCGGTGGTGACGATGGTGGTGGTGATGGTGTGGTGGTGGTGGTGGTGTTGGTGATGGTGGTAGTGACTGGTGGTGGTGATGATGATGGTGGTGTGGGTGATGGTTGGTGGCGGTGGTGGTGACGGTGGTGGTGGTGGCGGTGGTGCTGGTGGCGATGGTGATGGTGGTGGTGATGATGATGGTGGTGGTGGCGGGGTGGTGGTGATGGCGGTGGTGGTGGTGATGGTGGTGGTGACGGTGGTGGCGGTGGTGGTGATGAATGGTGGTGGTGGCGGTGGTGTTGGTGTTGGTGGTGATGGTGTTAGTGTTGGTGGTGATGGTGTTAGTGTTGGTGGTGATGGTGTTAGTGTTGGTGGTGATGGTGTTACAGGTTTGCAGATTTGCTGAGCATTTCTGTGAGGTCCTGGGGGAGGGAAATTCTCTCAGCCAGGAAAACATCATGGCACAAAGTGGGGATAACCCTGCTGAGGCTGCGGTGCCTCAAATATTGGAAGGAGGTCACCCCCTGTGAGTGGCTGGCTGAGGTTCCAGCTGTTGAGGAAAAGTACTGAGGGCGATCCGGAGTCTGAGACCAGGGAAGGCACCGGGCAGAGATGATCTCCCAAGCGAAATGCTGAGGGAGGGTGGCGTTTGTGCACAGACTGCCCTATATGACATCATAACAACAGTCTGGACCACTGGACGGGTTCCACAGGACTGGAAGGATGCCCTGGTGGTCCCCCTCTTTAAGAAGGGGGACCGCACAGACTGTAACAACTACAGGGGCATCTCACTCCTCAGTGTGCCGGGTAAGGTCCTGGCAAGGATTATTCAACATCGCCTTGCTAGGCACGCTGAGGAGGGGCTTGCGGAGCCCCAATGCGGTTTCAGGAAAGGGCGGTCCTGCACAGATGCCATATTTTCTGTCCGTCTGCTACAGCAGAGGTGTAGGGAATTCCAAAAGACCTACATCTCTGCTTTATTGACCTGGTCAAGGCCTATGATACCATCAGTAGGACTGGACTCTGGGTTGTTCTTCGTGCTTTAGGAGTCCCTGACCCTCTGCTCACGATCATTAAGGACCTTCATGATGGTGAGCGGGCCCGGGTAAAACTACGTGGCCGGGAGTCGGAGCCTTTCCCTGTACACCTTGGGGTGCGACAGGGATGTCCTCTGGCTCCCACATTATTTAACATCTATTTTGACCGCGTAGTTCGTGAAGCCTTCAATAGCTGTACCGGGGGAATTTCCGTTTGGTACAGATATAATGGGAGGCTGATCGACGCCCGGGTGCGATCAAGGGATGGCTCCCTATTGGTCAACCACGTTATGTATGCCGATGATTTGGTAATAGCTGCTCATTCAGAAGAGGAGTTGGAGGCGCTGCTGCTGAGACTGGAGCGTGCCACTAAGAGGTGGGGCCTTACCATCAGCCCCACCAAAACCAGCACCTGCCTGGGTATTTTGTACCATCGGACACTCCACCCCCACAACTCCCAATTGGTGATGGGGCAGTTGTGGAGAGAGTGGAGAGTTTCCCATACCTGGGCAGTGTGCTTATGACCGGCTCCAGTCTATCAGCAGAGGTCTCACTCCGAATCAGTCGAGCGGCAATATCTTTTCATCGGTTGCGTAACGCTGTGTGGAAGCTACCTGGTCTGTCGCTCCGCACGAAGCTTCAGGTCTTCTCGGCCACGGTCATTCCCTCCCTTCTCTACGCTTGCGAGACGTGGACCCCCCTGGTGGAGCATCTTCGCCGGTTGGAAACATTTAGGCTGGCCTGCCTACGATCCATCCTGGGTTTAACCAGGCTGGATTGTGTGAGGAGCTCACAAATCCTTGAAAGATCTGGGCAAAGTCCCATCAGTGAGCTCCTCCGGCAGGCAAGGCTGCGTTGGCTGGGTCATGTAGCCCGCATGCCCAGCCACCGCATGCCTAAACAGCTTTTGTTCGGCCGGATCGAGGGGGCTAGACGGGCGCGGCACGGGCTGGAGAAGAGATGGAGTGATGTGGTACAGGAGGACGTGGAGCTGAGTGGACTTGCCGATGACTGGTACCAGCGGTGTCAAGATCGGCCTCAGTGGAGGAGGCTCGTGAAGGACGCTACTGGGCAGTTGGAGGCAGTCGCCCTCCAACAACAACGGAGGGCGGAGGAGCGACGCTCACAACAACGAGCGGAGCGCCGGGTGGCTAAAGCACAGCAAGTTGGCACAGTAGGGGGCACAGGTGGTGCATCAGCCAGTCATCTCGGTCATCTCGGTCAGTCGACCCGTGGCACCTGCTGGGTCTGCCCCGTGACCTCCTGCCAGCGGGCTTTCGACACTTCACGTGGCCTCAAGGTGCACTTGGCCTGGCACAAGCATCGTGGTGACGTCACCGCCACTTAGTGGCGAATGGCGGTTGTTGTTGTTGTTGTTGGGTAGTGTTGGTGGCGGTGTTGGTGATGGTGGTGGTGATGGTAGTGGTGATGATGGTGTTGTGTTGGTGGTGATGGTGGCTGTGGTGTTGTGGTGGTGGTGTTAGTGTTGGTGGCTACCTGCACTCGGCAGAGACGGCATCTCTCTCGGGCACCAGGCTCGGGGAGCTCCCTCCTTGCTCGTCCGCTGGGGAACGAGAACATCGCGCAGAGTGCGGAGAGCAAACTCCAAATACACAGCAGCAGCAGGCGTCGTCAGGGTCGTGATCGAACCCACGACCTCCCGTGTACCAGGCGAGGCAGTCAACATCTCATAGCCACCACAACGCCACCACAACGCTCACCGGCATCATCTCCGTAGCCACCACAACGCCACCACAACGCTCACCGTCAACATCTCATAGCCACCACAACGCTGACCGGCAACATCTCATAGCCACCACAATGCCACCACAACGCTCACCGTCAACATCTCATAGCCACCACAACGTCACCACAACGTCACCACAACGCCACCACAACGCTCACCGTCAACATCTCATAGCCACCACAACGCCACCAGAACGCTCACCGTCAACATCTCATAGCCACCACAACGTCACCACAACGCCACCACAACGCTCACCGTCAACATCTCATAGCCACCACAACACTCACCGCCACGTTTGCCGGCACTCCGTGTGCCCCACGCGGTGCACACCACGAAGGGGAGGATCGCCAGCACCGCTATGGCCGCCATGAAGCTGATGGGGGCGCTACCGCCACCGGCGGGGAGCGTCGCCTCGTCTCCCGTAGACACCGCGGACGAGGGTCGGGAGGAGCGGGAGGTGGTGGTGGCGGTGGTGGCGGTGGTGGTGGTGGTGGCTACGGGATTGGGGACACACGCGGGGAGATACGGTGAGACGCGGGGAAACAGAGAGACACAGTGAGACAGATACAAACAGAGAGACAGAGAGAGACAGGGAGACACAGACAGAGACAAGAGAGACAGACACAGACAGAGAAACAGAGAGAGAAACAGAGAGACACAGACAGAGAGACACAGTGAGACAGATACAGACAGAGAGACAGGGAGACACAGACAGAGAGACACAGTGAGACAGATACAGACAGAGAGACAGAGAGAGACAGGGAGACACAGACAGAGAGAAACAGAGAGACACAGACAGAGAGACACAGTGAGACAGATACAGACAGAGAGACAGGGAGACACAGACAGAGAGACACAGTGAGACAGATACAGACAGAGAGACAGAGAGAGAGACAGGGAGACACAGACAGAGAGACACAGTGAGACAGATACAGAGAGACAGGGAGACACAGACAGAGAGACACAGTGAGACAGATACAGACAGAGAGAGAAACAGAGAGACACAGACAGAGTGGGATGCTGAGCAGTGTTGTTGTATGAGGTTAGTGATGAGGTTTTGGTCTTCATCACTTTTCTGTCTGTCTTGTGTGCGTCTCTGTGTGTCTGTGTTTGTCTGTGTGTGGCAGTGTCTGTCCGTGTGTGTCTGTGTGTGTCTGTGGCTGTCTGTTTGTCTGTGTGTGTGGCCTGGCACAAGCGTCGTGGTGATGTCACCACCACTTAGTGGCAAATGGCGGTTGTTGTTGTCTGTGTGTGGCTGTGTGTGTCTGTCTGTGTCTGTGTGTCTGTATGTGTGTGTCTGTCTGTGTCTGTGTGTCTGTCTGTGTGTACCGTTCCGGCCTTCATAGGTGCTCGCTAACAGCACTTGCCCCTACAGTCTGTTAAGGCTATACGGGGGATCTTTATCTGCCTGTGTCTGTCTGTGTGTGTCTGTCTATGTGTGTCTGTGTGTCTATTCAACATCGCCTTGCCAGGCACACTGAGGAGAGGCTTGCGTAGCCCAAATGTGGTTTCAGGAAAGGGCGGTCCTGCACAGATGCCATATTTTCTGTCCGTCTGCTACAGCAGAGGTGGAGGGAATTCCAACAAGACCTACATCTCTGCTTTATTGACCTGGTCAAGGCCTATGATACCATCAGTAGGCCTGGGCTCTGGGTCATTGTTCGTGCTTTTGCAGTCCCTGACCCTCTGCTCACGATTATTAAGGACCTTCGTGATGGTGAGCGGGCCCGGGTAAAACTACGTGGCTGGGAGTCAGAGCCATTCCCTTTTTACCTTGGGGTGCAACAGGGATGTCCTCTAGCTCCCACATTATTGAACATCTATTTTGACCACGTAGTTCGTGAAGCCTTCGATGGCTGTACCAGAGGAATTTCCATCTGGTACAGATACAATGGGAGGCTGATTGATGCCCAGGTGCGGTCAAGGGATGGCTCCCTATTGCTCAACCATGTTATGTATGCCGATGATCTAGTAATTGCTGCTCACTCAGAGGAGGATTTGGAGGCGCTGCTGATGAACCTGGAGCGTGCCACTAAGAGGTGGGGCCTTACCATCAGACCCACCAAAACTAAGCACCTGCCTTGGTATTTTGTACCATTGGACACTCCACCCCCACATCACCATTTGGTGATAGGGCAGTTGTGGAGAGAGTGGAGAGTTTCCCATACCTGGACAGTGTGATCATGGCCGGCTCCGGTTTAACAGCAGAGATCTCACTCCGAATCAGTCGAGCGGCAATATCTTTTCATTGGTTGTGTAACGGTGTGTGGAAGCTACCTGGTCTGTCGCTCTGCACGAAGCTTCAGATCTTCTCGGCCAAAATCATTCCCTCCCTTCTCTACGCATACGAAAAGTGGACCCCCCTAATGGAACATATTCGCCGCTTAAAAACATTAAGGCTGGCCTGCCTACGATCCATCCTGGGTTTAACCAGGCTGGATTGTGTGAGGAGCTCATAAATCCTTGAAAGATCTGGACAAAGTCCCATCGGTGAGCTCCTCCGGCAGGCAAGGCTGCGTTGGCTGGGTCATGTAGACCGTATGCCCAGCCACCGCGTGCCTAAACAGCTTTTGTTCGGCCGGATAGAGGGGGCTAAATGGGTGCGGTACTCATCCACCCACTCACTCACCCACCTACCCACTCACTCACTCACTCACCCACCCACCCACTCACTAACTCACTCACCCACCCACCCACTCACTCACTCACTCATCCACCCACTCACTCACCCACTCACTCACTCACCCACTCACCCACCCACTCACACACTCACCCACTCACCCACTCACTCACCCACCCACTCACCCACTCACCAACCCACTTACACACTCACCAGCTCACCCACTCACCCCCCACTCACCCACCCACTCACCCACTCACTCACCCACCCACTCACCCACTCACACACTCACCCACTCACTCACCCCCCACTCACCCACTCACTCACCCACTCACTCACCCACTCACACACTCACCCACTCACTCACACACCCCACTCCACACACACCCACCCACCCACTCACCCACTCACCCACTCATTCACACACCCACTCACTCACACACTCACCCACCCACCCACCCACTCACTGACACACTCACCCACCCACTCACTCACCCACCCACCCACTCACCCACCCACTCACCCACCCACTCACTGACACACTCACCCACCCACCCACTCACCCACCCACCCACTCACCCACCCACCCACCCACTCACCCACGGCGCTGTGTGGTGGAGGGACGGAGACACACGACAGGGGAGACCACTCCCCTGTCTTCCACCGCGGGTAGTTGACTACGACTCTCACGCGGACGCAGTAGTCAGCGGCGCCTGCAGGCTGAGGCAGCGCGTGGCGGTAGCGACATCCCAGAAAGCGCTCCTGGCAGGAGCAAGCAGAGGGTCTCAGTGTGCTGGGTTACGTGGATGACACATCGGTGGTCTGGCCACACGGCAAACATGCACTGAGCGCGTTTCTAAATCATCTCAACTCGCAAAACCCATCCATCCAAACACACACACATGTACATTGGCCACGTTCTGTTTACGTGACAACCCTCACGAGTTGGCTGTGTCGGGTGGTCGCGGGTTTTAACGACACATCATTTATATATTTACGTGATCTAACCCAAAAACCTCTTATGGATGATATTGGTCGCGAAGCCTGCTACGTGTTAACCTGAGTATCATCATCAACAGTAGTAGCAGCAGCAGCAGCAATAGCATCATCAGTAGTAGCAGCAGCAGCAATAGCATCATCATCAGTAGTAGTAGCATCACCACCCACCCCCACTCAACCACCCACTCAACCACCCACTCAACCGCCCACCCGCCCACCCACTCACTCACCCACCCACTCACTCACTCACCCACCCACCCACCAACTCACCCACCCACCCACTCACTCACCCACCCACCCTCCCACTCACTCACTCACCCCCCACTCACTCACTCACCCACCCACCCACCCACTCACCCACCCACTCACCCACTCACCCACCCACTTACCCACTCACTCACCCACTCACCCACCCACCCACTCACTCACCCACCCACCCACCAACTCACCCACCCACCCACTCACTCACCCACCCACCCTCCCACTCACTCACTCACCCACCCACTCACTCACTCACCCACCCACCCACCCACCACCCACCCACTCACCCCTCACCCACCCACTTACCCACTCACTCACCCACTCACCCACCCACCCACTCACTCACCCACTCACACACCCCCCACTCACCCACTTACCCACCCACCCACCCACTCACTCACTCACTCACCCCTCACTCACTCACCCACCCACCCACTCACCACTCACTCACCCACCCACTCACCCACCCACTCACCCACCCACCCACTCACTCACTCACCCACCCACTCACCCACTCACTCACTCACCCACTCACCCATTCACTCACTCACCCACTCACTCACCCACTCACTCACCCACTCACCCACCCACTCACCCACCCATCCACTCACTCACTCACTCACCCACCCACCCACCCACCTACCCACTCACCCACCCACCTAACCACCACCCACTCACCCACCCAACCACCACTCACCCACTCACCCACCCACCCACTCACCCACCCACTCACTCACTCACCCACTCACCCACCCACCCACCCACTCACCCACCCACCCACCCACTCACCCACCCACTCACTCACTCACCCACTCACCCACCCACCCACCCACTCACTCACCCACCCACCCACCCACTCACCCACCCACCCACTCACCCACTCACCCACTCACTCACCCACTCACCCCCCACTCACCCACCCACCCACTCTCACCGTGCTAGTGACACCCCTCCTTGTGGAGACCTCGGCTTGCAGATGGTAGCGCACGTCACTCTGCGCCATCCTCCTCCTCCACACGCTGCTCATGGAGACCCGCACGGACAGCTCCCACGCCTTCCGCTCTCCCTCGCTGTCGTCGTCATCGTCGTCATAAAACTCATTGTCGTCGTCATCACCGTCACCGCCATCACCGCCATCATCATCATCAGCGTCACCACCATCACCGCCATCATCATCATCACCATCACCATCACCGCCATCACCGTCACTGCCATCACCGCCATCACCGTCACCGCCATCACCGTCGGCCCATCACCGTCGGCCCCATCACCGCCATCACTGTCACCGCCATCACCATCATCATCGTCATCAGCGTCACCGCCATCACTGTCACCGCCATCACCCTCATCGTCATCATCACCGTCACCGCCATCAGAGTCACCGCTATCACGTTCATCATCATCATCAGCATCGCCACCATCACCGTCACCACCATCACCCCATCATCATCGTAGTTATCACCGTCACCGCCATCACCGTCGGCCCCATCACCGTCGCCACTATCATCCTCATCATCATCCTCATCATCATCCTCATCAT